CCTATTGAGCTAGAATGTAGCTATCCACAAAGATTCAAACTTACTTAAAATGAAAACCCTGCGATGAGACCCCTCTGTGCTGAGAACAGAAGGTCTGTGGGGGCTGGCGGTGGCTGCCGCACCACTGCTGCCCTTGCCAGAGAGCCTGCTTCTCAGCCGACAGCCATTGTTCTCTCTCTAGCTACAGAGACCGTGCAGTGCCACCCCCTTGTGTCCTCAACGCCTAAATCCGTGCTGTCTCATCTTCCGCAGCCCTTGGAGGGTTTATTTCAGGGATTACTGGTGTGGATCAGAAGACTGTGCTCCCTCTATTGGCTCAAAGCTGGCCCCACCACTCCTAGCTGGGTAACCTTGGTCAGGTCATTCTCCCTCTCCGAGTTCCTTGCTTTATTTTGCTCCTTAGTAAAATAAAGTCACAGCTGCTTGGTAGTCTTAACTGGGAGCTTAATACCTTAGATGTTCTAGAAACATCTCCCTGGTTCTACTCTTGGCTTCTGTTATTCTCTCTGGCTCTTTAGTAGGTTTCTTAGCCTGTTTGAACTTCTTTTTCTTTATCTATAAATGAGAACACTGTCGTCTTCATAGCATTGTAGTTAGAATTAAATAGAAATCCGTGTGAAACACTGAACACTTACCTGTTATTACTTTATTACTCAATAAATGTTAGTCCTATCCCCTCTCTTCAATTTCATTGTTATGAAACCCAGACATATCACAATTTTGTGATATAACACTTTGTTTTTTAGGAGTATGACTGCTTTGACTCAACAGAGACCCTAGCTACTGAGGAACCCAGCTCAAATTTAGCCCATGTTAGGTATGGCCCAGAATGTGTGCATCTGTCTGCCCAGCTGCTCATTTGAGCTTTTCCAGGGGTCTGAGGCCCCTTGTCAGAGCAGCAAAGCCTCAGTGAGAACATAGGTATGCACATGTAAGAATGACCTAGCATTCCTCTGGAGGCTCTGCATCTGGAGCTGGATAGGCAGAAGGGTTAAAAGCTGGAGAAACTTTTGTCATAAATTTTCTCTTCAGCAGGACTTCCCAGGGAACATCTGACATTAGGAGAGAGGAAATGCTGATTGGCCTCGGAGTCAGCTGAAGGAGACAGGAGCTGCCGTGGAAGCTGCTGGATTTACTGTTATTAGCAAGGCAAATGGAAAGCCAGCAGGGCAGCCCAGCTCCCAGATAATAGATGTAACAAGAAGGAAAACTCCCAGGAAGGAAAATGGCTGGCAGCCACGACTCCTCCACCTCCTCTGCAGCCATCTTTTTTCCATTGCTTTTACCTTTTTGTTTTGTGTGTTTAGCACAAGGAGAAGCATATTTTAACATGTTGGGTTGTCAGTCACAATTGGTTTAAAATAGGATCTATAACTTAGCTTCTTGCCAATTTGATAGATTCATAGTTGAACATGGTGAAATGTGTAAAATTGTACTAATATAGTATGAAATAGCTGCTATTTCCTGAGCACTTACCGCGGGCCAGACTAAGTGCTTTACATTGTTACTATCTCATTTAACCCATGTAACAACTTCATGCTCTAGAAATTATCATCATCCCCAGTTTAGAGATAAAGAAACAATGCTTAGAGCACTTAGGTAATTTCCCAAGGTCTTAAAGCTTCGTGGAGCTGGGATTTGAACCATGCCATTACGGTCCTACCAGTCCAGGGGAAAGTATTGAAGCAGGAGCCCAAATGGCTATTATGGGGCCAGACAGGGTACTAGCAGTAAGAAAAGTGCTTACGCCTGTGTTCCCCCGCCTTGAAACACAGCCCTAGCTGGTACAGTGGTGGTTGGAAAGTGGATGGGTAGGCAGAGAAGAGCTGAGTTGGCAGGTGGAAATGATCTCTGAAGGGTCTGATTCCCCCAAAACAGGGAAAAAGGCAGATGGGCAGTTGATGCCTAAGAACACAACTGAGGGGAAATTGCAGGTCCAGACATCAGGGACCAGGAAAGCAGATGATGGTCAGCATCCAGGGGCGGAAATACAGAGAGCTGTGTTCCACGCGGGGTCAGGGCACAAAGGCAACAGGTGAGCAAAACTCGTGTTGTCAAAATTACCTCTAGAAAAAAATCCCTTTTAAAATTCCTGTCAGGGGCACTTGGGTGACTCAGTTAGTTAAGCATCTGCCTTTGGCTTAGATTGCAATCCCAGGGTCCTGGGATTGAGTCCCACAGCAGGCACCCTGCTCAGTGGGGACTCTGTTTCTCCCTCTCCCTCTGCCCATCCCGCTACTCATGCTCTCTCTCTCTCTCTCTCTCTCAAATAAATTACTAAAATCTTTATTTAAAAAAAAAATGCCTGTCAGAGGCCAGCATACTATAGTTTTTCTCATTAAGTCCAACATGGCTAACCTCTTTTTCTAGGATGAGAACCAATGAAACTAAAAATACGTATCTTTAAATGCTAAAATCAAAGTACTTGTCACAGAAAGACGTTCACACTATAAGAGGAGCTACAAAACAGATACTGCCATCCACCCAATTAATTCAGTAAGTCATTCATCAGACATTTGCCAAGCTCTATAACTGCAAAGATGAGTAAGACTCCCCCCCCCTCACAATTCACTCTTGGGGTTCACTGGATCACTGAGAGTCATGGCAAGGGAAATTCTACAAACTATTTAAATTGTTCTTTTGGTCATTCTTCACTCTCTGTTTTTCCTCATTTTTACCAAACAATTCTAGTTGAATTCAGGGAAACTACATGTTTAACTTATACACAGAGAGATCCAGGCAGGTAGGTGGCATCAAGGGCAGGACCAGTTTTCTGAGAGGCACACTGAGAACCCAGCAGGGTACTAAGCCCAGAGCAGGATTCTGGGCAGGGCTGAGCTGGGGGCAAGGGCACTTAATCTGAATGAGACATGAAGGTCAAGGCCAGATTAAAGAAAGGAAGTCTTGTTTTGGGTTGGCTTTAAATTGCAGAAATCTTGCCTTGAAGCAGAACCTGCAGGTGAGAGGAACGTTAAGTGGTAGGACTTTCCTTATTATAAGGAAAGGAAGCAGGCTGTTCTGGGAATCTGGTAGGTCCTGATGTTGTCATGGGGGTCAGACAGAGAAACGCATATGCAAAGGGTCCTAGAGGCCAGATAAGACTTAGAGAATAACCATGATATGGTTATTCTATGATACTCCATGATACTTTGCACTGAGCAGTGAGGAGACCGGTTCGGCTGGCTCACAGAGGACATAGTCGGACAATTAGGATGGATAGAAGGTCAGGAGAACAGGGTAAGGAAGTTGTGAAAGGATTTTAAGCATGGAGGTGGTAACCTTAAGAGAGGATAAAGAATGGATGGCTGGAGGCCAGGAGAAGAGTTGAACACCATTATCAGGGGCTGGACGATAAGCAATGCAAGGGTGATGTATTAAAAGGGTAGAGTCTTTGGAACTTGGGAGTTGACTTCCTATCAACAAGGAGGGAAGGCTGAGTAAGAAGTATTCCAGACTTGTGAGTGCCCTGTTCACTACTCTGAATCTTTGGGGCTCAAATGGTCCTTGTATCGGTAGTGCCTACCCCAGGACTTAGCACAGGGTGGGTTCAGTAAACATTTGATGGACAACTGAAATAATCCAGTATCACTGGAAACCCAATGACAAGGAGAAAGAGCTAGTTGAGTAGAGAAGGTTAATATGTTTGTAGTTGGTTCTCGTGTGAAATTAGAATCAATTAAGTGCTTGGAGCTCTCTTCAATCCTGCAAAGGCAGGCCTGAGCCACTTATTGTCAGTGGTACTTCCTTGGAGAGTTGATGGAAGCCCCTGTGAGGCCCTGCAGACTGTTGTCCCACCCAGGGTTACAGCCCCTTCACCGGGGCCAGTGGCACCCAGCCGTTGAGAGAACACGGTCACTCTTGGTGCCTCACGGCTTTCACTCAGTAGCCTGTCAAGCACATGCAACTATTGTCTTCATTTTCAGAGGCGGAGACCGAGGTTCTGAGAGCTGTAGTTTACCCAGGCAAGTCTCCGGCATGAGCAGATTTGAATAGAAGTCTTCAGATTCCACTGTATCATAACAAAGTCTGCTGATTGAAAACAGTTGGCCCTAAGCATGCTCTCCATTGACTTAGGTTGGAATCACCACTTTTTTACAGCTCAGAAAAGGCTACAGACAAATGAAGTCTTTTTTGTTTGCTTCTTTTGTTTTTGTCCTTAGGTGTTTGTGACTAAATTCACTAATTTTGCTGGCTGTCAAGGCTGTGTTAAGGAAAATGGGTTTGAACTGCTGTGGTTTTTGAGTACTGGACTGGATGTCAGAAACCTTTGCCATCACGGGAAATTCTGTCACTCTGGATTTACTATCTGTTCCCCACAGCTGAATTCCTCAGCAGTGTGATTTAGCACCCTGGCTCCCCATCATCCGGTTTTGGCATTTATTTGAATGCATTACTCCACTGGTTTCCATAAACTATTTTACAATTGTTTAAAATAAATGACTGTTTATTTCCACAAAAACCATCTGTATTTCTTTACAGAGTAGCAGATAACTGTACGTAAAATTTGGTAATGTCACAGTGACTCAAGTTAAGAGAAACAGATTAGATTGAAAAATTGAATGCTAAGGGACAGTGTTAAAGGTTTCCATCCTCTGTAACAAGTGATACCTGGATTTGAAAGTGGAGGGGGGGGTGTTTCTTTTTTAAAAGTAATCCTAGGCCTCCTTTCTCCAAAGGGAAGTACATTCGTGCCAGCTGGGTAGTGACAGGATATGGACTATGAGCATTCCTCTGTCCCTTCAGCACTCTCTCTGCCTGGAGTAGTGTGTGGGAAGCTCCTATCCAGAAGCTTCCAGACTTCTCCACTTGGGTTATCCATGCCTTATCTCTTCTTGTTCTGATAGTGGTGGGTTCCTAGGCTGTGTGTTATAGCTCAGAGAACTCTGATAATAAGCACATTGGGACAGGTTGCTCTGGTGAGAAAAGGCAGGCCTAGGTAAGGGAACTGAACTGATGCAAACAGGATTGGCCCCTGACAGGTGTGGTCTTCCATTCTCTAGCCAGTGCCCAAAGCAGCACAGATCTCCACCAGCCCCGTCCATCCCCAGGAAACCCAGAGTTGGGGCTCTATAGTGATTCTCCAATCTGTGGGGACATTTGGAGTCAGCTGGAAGTGGAACTTCAAGTCTCCTCTGGAGGACGAGGTAGGTAGTCAGGGTGGTGGTCAAGCGGGCTGAGTTTCTGCTTAGTCACCCAATAGACACTGAAGCACACCTCTTGCCGTGGCTGCCCCACGAGCGCAGAGCTCCTGAGTCTGCACTCCACCCGTATTTTGCATACAGCTGGTACGAGAGACAGGCCCAACCAGAGACCTTCCTAGTGTGGGTTGCATGGAGAAGTGCGGAGGCAGTGGTACTCATGCAGCTTTGACTTCTTGAGTAGGGGAAAGCGAGGACCAGCGATGTGAAGTGAAGGGAAGACTTCTTCAGACAGAGGAAGCAGTATGAGCAGAGCACAGAGGGTTGAAACAGCATGGTTCAGAGGATATTTCTGGATTACCGTATCATTAGGTGGGAGGTGGGAAGGGAGGGAGATGAGACCAATTTGGCAGACCTCTAGAGGTTCCAGCCTCTGCTGAAGAATCATACCCCACCCCCTGCCCGGTGAAGCTTGGACAGCAGAAGCGGAAACCCAGGCATATGATCTGTGGAGTCCTTGGAACAATTCTTAAGAGGGAGGTACTGGTGCGCTTGGGTGGCTCAGTGGGTTAAGCCTCTGCCTTCCGCTCAGGTCATGATCTCGGAGTCCTGGGATCCAGCCCCTCATTGGGATCTCTGCTCAGCAGAGAGCCTGCTTTCCTCCCGCCCCACCCCGCCTGCCCCTCTGCCTACCTGTGATCTCTGTCAAATAAATAATTAAAATCTTAAAAAAAAAAAAAAAAGAAGAGGGAGATACTGTTATTATCCCTCATTTACAGGTGGGAAAGAAAGGCATAAAAACATTAAGTAATTGCCCAGGGTCACACAGCTAGTAAGTGGTGGAGCTGGGAATTCAAACCTGAGCAGTGTGGCTCATAACCACTAGACCGTCTCAAATGTGTTGGGGTCAGCAGGGTTTGGAGGGCACTCCCTAGAACACACACACATATACACGGACACATACACACATTACTAAGTTTAGGGCAAGGATCAAATCCAGACTTTCTTCCCACCCTCCCAAGCTACAGGGAGGGACTCCGAACATACTGCCTCTTGTCTCAAAGCCTGAGTGGAGGTATCAGGACTGTCTTAGAGGGAGAATGAATAGGGCAGATAGAGACAGTATGGAGTCACCCTTTGTTTTCGACAGCCCATCTAGAACCCAGGTGGAGGACAGAGCCTGCATAGTTTTCTAGACTAAGGTGATAGAGGAGGTTGTCAGGTGGACAGTCTGACTCATGATCTGCAGTCATGGCCTCTCTGCGGGCCTGTGGGTGCCAGCAGCCTGGCCTCAGATGTTCCAGTGCTCTATACCTGTACTGCCCAACTCCTTTGGGCAGCTCTGGAAGCCTCTGTGGTCCACCCTATGCCTTAACTCTGGACATGGGAATCCCTTGAAGAGACTCTATGCCATTTTTGTTCCTGGGCCCCCAGCTGCTTAGGTGTCTCCCCAGCAGCCACTGAGCCCCCATTACCTGTGAGAAGCCAGAGATAGTGAGAGGGGAGTCCAGAGGACACAGTCCATAGTCTGACCTAGCTGGAATCACCTCTCAGATTGTTTATTGTGGTTTTTTTTTTAGAATTGGATTTTTAATGACAGAAGTAATACCTATGTATACCACTGTCAAAAATCCAAACAAGATAGAGATCTATGAAGTAAAAAAGCAAAAGCCTTTGTCTTTGCTACTATCCCATCCAATGCACAGAGGTAATTCTAGTTAACAGAGTAACCATGAGAGCAGTTTGGCTGATAGCCTTCCAGATTTTGTGTGTG